TTGAGCTATCCTCCTGCCTCAACCTCCCAGAGAGCTAGGATCGCAGGTGGGAGCCACCATGCTCGGCCTCAGAAACTAGAGTTTTTAATGATGCTTTTACTGCATCTTCTGGAGAGCTTTAACCAAGATCCTTTTGGAAGTACAATCTATTCTCACCTCTCCTGATGAAGAGAAAGATCTCCTGAGTCTACTTGGAGTAGCTGGAAAGAGTCAGCAGTGCCCATAGAGGGAGAGAGGACAGACAGAGGCCTGGCATGCAGCTACCACTCCAGAGTATCTTCCCCCTGGAGTTCTCCTGCCCTTATTGCTGGAGGATGGCATGCTGTGTTTAAAGATAGAACTGCCCTTACAGCATGACTTTGAGGCTTGAGCAGACTGTGATTGGTCTGTGATCACATACAGGCACTTCCGGGGCTGTCTCAAGTGAATTCACATATAACTGCACAACCTGATCTCTGCTTTGACTTTTTTTTTTTTTTTAACTCATCTGTATTTGTTACAACTTTATTTAAAGCAACTACTATGCTTTGGCTTCCTTCTTATGTGTTTCTAAAGCTTGTGATCAGTTCACCTGGATAATTTCTCTTTTCCAGCACGCGATGAATGTGATCGGGATCTTTGCCGAAGAACAGACGCTGGTGTTGCAGATAGTGGCGGGTGTGCTCCACCTGGGAAACATCAGCTTCAAAGAAGTTGGGAACTACGCAGCGGTGGAGAGTGAAGAGTGTATGTAGCTCTGGCTCGTGGTCGTTGAATGAGGGGAATAGGTGGTTAGTGCCCATCAGAAGTAAGCCTCTCCTTCCCTTTGCTTGGGTCTCAGGGTTGGGGTAGGGCTACGTTTAGGGTTAGGGGAATGGGTGGTTAGTGCCAATCAGAAGTAAGCCTCTCCTTTCCTTTGCTTGGGTCTCAGGGTTAGGGGTAGGGCTATGTTTAGGGTTAGTGGAATGGGTGGTTACCAAACAGAAGCGAGCCACCACTTTTCATTCGCTTAGGTCTCAGGTGAGGTGTATTGGGAAGAGGGGAGAAATCTTACCTGTCCTGCTGGGGAAAAACAAAACGGCCTCATGAGAGACTACCCGCTCTGCCGTGCATTGCCAAGTCCCACACCATCAATGGTTAATGAAATCGTTTCAATTTGTCATTAACCTTGGAGGAATCTGGAAATTTTTTACATTTAGATTTAAAGATAAAGTGACATCTTTAATGAAGATGGATAGTTTAAGAAAGCAAAAGATCAGTCTTTTTATTGTTTGGGATTCATTGAGGGTACCAAGAATTAGGTTACAGTGATTGCATTTATTAGATAAAGTCCGTCTTATACTTGTGTCCCACCCCAAGAGGTACGTCATACACCATGACCCCATCCCTGCCCCCCTTATTTTAAGACTGAATCTCACTCTGTTGTCCAGGCTATAGTGCCCTGTGTCAGCCTAGCTCACAGAAACCTCAAACTCCTGAGTTCAAGCAGTCCTGCCACAGCATCTCAGGTAGCTGGGACTACAGGCACCCACCACAATATCCAGCAAATTTTTCTCTTTCCATTTATTTATTTGAGACAGAGTCTCACTCAGTGCCCAGCTCACATCAACCTCAAACTCTTGGGCTTGAGCAATCAATCCTCTTGCTTCAGCCTCCTGAGCAGCTGAGACTATAGGCACCTGCCACAATACCCAGCTACTTTTAGAGACGGGGTCTTGCGCTTGCTCAGGCTGGTCCCAAACTCCTAAACTTAAGCAATCCACCTGCCTCAGCATCCCAGAGTGCTAGGATCACAGGCATGAGCCGCCATGCCTGGCCTAATTTTTCTATTTTTAGCAGAGACAAGGGTCTCACTCTTGCTCAGACTGGTCTTGAACTCCTGAGCTCAAGTGACCCTCCTGCCTTGGCCTCCCAGAATCCTCCCAGAATGCTAGGATTACAGGTATGAGCCACTGTGCCAGGCCAAGAATAGTCTTTTAATGAAAACCTTTTCTATAACTAGTCTTTAGGGTCTAAATTCACTTAAAGGCCTCAAAAGTGACAGACTATATGTAAATATAAAGCTCACAGGTTCACAGTTTATGCATGGGTGAGACTGGATTGGGTTTCTGAACACAGAGAGAAATGGACATTGCCTGTTGTGTCAGCATTACTGATTTCCCCTCTAATGACCACATGTGTAGAGTTAGAGCCTCAGCATCTGAATGGTCATTTTCACTCTTTGAGAAGAAATCAGGGTTCTTCCTGCAGAGAGAGATTATGGGTCGCCTGTGCCCACAAGCTGCCGTAAATATCACGGCGTGTGACTTCAGCCTCTCAGGCATCGACAGCTTTCCAGGCTGCTCTCAGAACCCACACATCCTTTAACCACCCAGGAAGACATTCTTCCTTTCTCAGCATTCTTCAGGATGATAAATTTAGATGCTTAGTAATAAATAGTATCCCACTCACTGCTGACAATGCAGTGGGGATATTTCCATTCCAAATAAGGTTCTTTTTTATGTTTTTGTTTTCTTTTCTGATAAAAGAGGAAAGTTCTGCTAACTTCTGATGACTATCTGATAAAGACTATGAATTATGTTTAGCAGGGAAGGGGTAGAAAACAATAAATGTACAGGATGTTCATAAAGTCTGGAAACGTGACCCAATAATTGTAATAATAACAACTGTGTTTAAAAAAATAAATAGGCTCGGTGCTTGTGGCTCAAGAGGCTAAAGCGTCAGCCACATACACCTAAGGTGGCGGGTTCGAATCCAGCCTGGGCCCGCCAAACAACAATGACGGCTACAACCATAAAATAGCCGGGCGTTGGGGCAGGCGCCTGTGGTCCCAGCTACTTGGGAGGCTGAGGCAGGAGACTCGCCTGAGCCCAGGAGTTGGAGGTTGCTGTGAGCTGTGATGCCATGGCACTCTACCCAGGGGAACAGCTTGAGGTTCTGTCTCAAGAAAATAAAGAAATAAAAAATAATAATAACTGTGTTTATAAACTTTCTACATTGTTTCACTGACATTTAACACAGGTGGTATATGTCCAGTAGAATCCTTAATCTGTGGCCTTTTAACACTGGCAGTTTGGGTTTGGTGGTAATTTCTGTGGAATTAGATTTGGTTTCCTTTGCCTTCTTGGAAGGTAAAGTTTATTTTTATTTATTTATTTATTTATTTATTGAGACAGAGCCTCAAGCTGTCTGCTTGGGTAGAGTGCCATAACATCACAGCTCACAGTAACTTCCAACTCCTGGGCTCAAGCGAGTCTCCTGCCTCTGCCTCCCAAGTAGCTGGGACCACAGGCGCCCGCCACAATGGTTGGCTATTTTTTTTGGTATTAGCTGTCCTTGTTGTTTGGCGGGCCCGGGCTGGATTCGAACCTGCCACCTTAGGTGTATGGGGCTGGCACCTTAGCCACTTGAGCCATAGGTGCCGAGCCAAGTTTATTTTTTTTGAGACAGAATCTCACTCTGTCACCCATGGTAGAGTGCTGTGGCATCACAGCTCACAGCAACCTCAAACTCTTGGGCTTAAGCAATTCTCTTGCCTCAGCCTCCCAAGTAGCTGGGACTACAGGTGCCCACCACAACACCCAGCTATTTTTTGTTGCAGTTGACATTGTTATTTAGTGGTCCCGGGCCAGTTCAAACCCACCAGCCTTGGTGTATGTGGCTGGCACCTTACCCACTGAACTATGGGTGCCGCTGGAAGGTAAAATTTTTACTTCCTTAGTCTCACTCCATTGCCTCTTTATAGAGTTCTATGACATCATCATAGCTCTCAGCAACTTTAAACTCCTGGGCTTCAGTGATCCTCCAGCCTTAGCCTCCCAAGTAGCTGAGACTATAGGTGCCCACCACTACGCTTAACTGGTTTATCTTTTTTTTTTTTTTTTTTTTGCAGCTTTTGGCCGGGGCTGGGTTCAAACCCACCACCTTTGGTATATGGGGCAGGCGCCCTACTCCTTTGAGCCACAGGCGCCACCCACTAGTTTATCTATTTTTAGGAGAAATGGGGTCTCACTTTTGCTCAGGCTGGTCCCAGACTCCTGAGCTCAGGCGATCAACCCACCTCAGCCACCCAGAGTGCTGGGATTACAGACATAAGCCACCACGCCTAGCCTCTTTACTGCCTCTTTATTCCTGAGAACATGACACTAAAACAAGCACTCTCCTGATTGCTTATACTAACAAATGTTTTGCACATTGATGATCAGAGTGAGTAGCACCCTCAGCAAAATAGGTAAGGTCCAGGATGGCAACTGTTGGTGAAATTCCCCAACTGGAGGTGATAGCTGGCCGGGGATGAAAAAAGCTGTGCTGAAGCCAAAGAGCTTCCCCAACCCCAATAATTTTCTTGTGTTAGTGGGAATACATTAACATGGCTCAAGCAGGTATTCAGTGAGAGGTCACTATTCAGTTCCTTTCCAAGGTAGCTTGTTCTCTCCCCAAAAGTAGTCAGTGTTCCCCATCTCCTGAGTTTGAGTGCTGTGTGCTCCAGAGCAGACACAGGTGTCCCCTCTTTGGTCCCGTTTTGTGCAATAATGGGAGTTTATAACATAATGTTCTGCCAAGGCTTTTTCACTGGGCACAATGGCTTGTGCCTGTAATCCTAGCATTCTGGGAGGATGAGGTGGGTGGATTGCTTGAACTCAGGAGTTTGAGACCAGCCTGAGCAACAGCGCGACCCTGTTCCTACTGAAACATAGAAAAATTAGGTGGGTGTTATGGCAGGCGCCTATAGTCCCAGCTATCCAGAAGGCTGAGGCAGGAGAATCACTTGAGCCCATTGGTTTGAGGTTGCTGTGAGCTAAGCTGCCACCAGCGCACTCTAACCATGGTGTCACAGCTCACAGCAACCTCAAACTCTTTGGGCTTAAGCAATTCTCTTGCCTTAGCCTCCCAAGTAGCTGGACTACAGGCTCCCAACACAATGCCTGCTATTTTTTAGTTGGAATTGTCATTGTTGTTTAGCAGGCCTCACCTGGCTTGAACCTGCCAGCCTTGGTGTATGTGTCTGAGCTACGGGCACAGAGCCTACCCCATTATCATTAATGGATTAGAATGGATTAGAATGCACAGAACCTCCGCACAGAACCTTTGCCATTTTGCAAAATGTATAAAAATGGAATTTTCTTTTTCCTTTTTTTTTTTGGAGACAGAGCCTCAAGCTATCCCCCTGGGTAGAGTGCTGTGGCATCACAGCTCACAGCAACCTC